GTGGAGCTCCCCAATTAAAACAAGCTTGGAAGCAGGAGTGGCATCCACTTCCATAATAGCTTGCCTCCGGAAACTCTATGAACTTAGAGAAACAATGAGAGTTATTCATGTGAGTTTTGTGGTTGAATACTATCAAGTGGGAATTGACCTATAACGGATCCTGCAGCTGGTTTTCAGAGGCAGTAAATCCCCAGGAGGAGATTGCCCATCTTTCTGCTGTGGAGCAGCTGTTGGATTTGAACATTCTCCCTTTGCATTTGCAGCAAATTCCTTATCAATACATAGGTGTTCAGTTCCTGTCCCTTGAAATTTTCTTTACCCTAAGGGCTAGTCCAACCCCATAGTATCAGGATTTAGGGAGCTCTGGTTGCCTAGTGGCAAAAGGCTGCACTGTAATCCCAAAGGCACACAGTTCGAGGTCACCAGCTGCTCCGCGGGAGAAGGATGAGCAGTCTCTTCCCATACAATTAAGTGCGTCTGAAAACCCGCCGGAGGGTCGGTTCAGACTCTATGGTACACAACAACAAGGTCATTTTTATCTGATACTAATACACTTAATCCTGCTTTCCCTTTAGAGAGCTCTGGTGGTGGAGTCCTTAGGGAGTTGTGCCGTTAACCCAAAAGTGGAGTCTGTGATGGTTTGAATCCACCAGCAGCTCCACAAGAGAAAGATGAACAGTCTCTTCCTATGCGATTTATAGCCTACATGCCCCGGAGGGTCAGTTATGAAATGAGCATTGAGCTGTTCCTTTAGCGCACTCTCGTGGCACAGATCATAATGAGCTGCACTGCAGACTCAAAGCCCCAGCTTTCTGTTGGCTTAAATATACCAGTGGCTCTGCAGGAGAAGGTTGGGCAATCTCCACTCACCAGTGTGGTTTGCAGTGTGAAACCCAGCGGAGGATCAGCTGTGAGTCGACCAGACTCCGGTAATGAGGGTGAGCTTTCCTCCTATTAATGCTTTCATGATGTACCCCCTGTTTTTTAACTGCCAGAAGTGCAGGCTGGGTTTAGAAAGGGACGTGGTACAAACTGTGCTGACTCTGAGACAAATGGGAATCCCAGAATACTTAATCATGCTAATGCAAAACCTATACTTGGACCAGGAGGCAGTCATCAGAACAGAGCAGGGAAACACTGCATGGTTGAAAATTGGGAGGGGTGCTCACTGCGGCACCACATATACTAAAATTGGAATGATACAGAGAAGATTAGCATGGCCCCTGTGCAAGGATGACACTCAAAATTGGGAAGGGTGTATGCCAGGGATGTGTCCTGTCTCCATACCTTTTCAACCTGTATGCAGAACAGATTATCTGGGAGGCTGGGCTGTATGAGGAAAAATGTGGCTTCAGGATTGGAGAAAGATTTATCAACAATCTACATTATGCAGATGACTCAACACTGCTTGCTGAAACTGAGGAGGACCTGAAGCGCTTGCTGCAAGGGGTCAAGGACTGAAGCCTTCAATATGGATTGAGGCTAAATACCAAGAAAACAAAGATTCTCACCACTGGATCAATTGGCAGCATCAGGATGGATGGTGAAGAGATTGAGATTGCTGACAGCTTTAGTTTGCTTGGCTCCACAGTCAACACTCTTGGCACCAGTAGCCAGGAAATTAAAAGACATATTGCGATGAGAACGTCTGCTGTTAGGGACCTCTTCAAATTCCTGAAGAGCAATGGTGTGTCTCTGGAGACCAAGGTGCGTCTGATACAAGCCATGGTCTTTGCAATCACTTGTTATGCATCAGAGAGTTGGACAATGACTAGGGAGGATAGAAGGAGAATTGATGCCTTTGAGCTGTGGTGTTAGAAGAGTATTGACTATACCATGGACTGCCAAGAAAACGAACATGTTCGTCCTAGAGAGGGTTAAACCAGGCTGCTCCTTGGAGGCAAAGATTCTGAAGCTTCATCTGACATACTTTGGACAGGTTGCAAGGTGGTGGGACAGTGCAGAAGAGGAAGACCCTCTATGAGGTAGATTGATTCAGTGAAGGGGGTAATCAGGGTAGGTGTGTCAGAGACAGTGAGATTGGCACAGGACAGAGCAGGGTTTAGGGCTGTTGTACGTAGGGTCACTTTGAGTTACAGGTGACTCAAGGACACATAACAACAGCAACACGTGTGTTGTTACATTTGAAACAAGTTTTTGTAGGTGGTGCATAACCAACCCATAGCAGACCCTCCAGTGGGTTTTCAGAGGTAGGCACATAACAACAACAAATCACACAGGAGGAAAAACACATAATTTATGCCTTTAATTGGTATAGTTAGAGCATTTACATTTCTGTAATTACTGGTATATGTCAAAGCTTGTGTATTCCGTTTTACTTTGGTTTTCTGTCTGTTCTGTGTTTTTTATCTTTTATTCCCCCCATTCTTTTCTAGTCATGGCTCTCTTGCCATATTTAAAATATACATCTTTTCAAATCACTGTCTTTTGATGTTGTCATTTTATCAGTTAAACTTAAAAACCTCCCCTCTCTTTCCATCCCTTGACCTACCCGTGTTTTTTTACATGCACTTATAACCACCCGTATAATGTGTTTTGCTGTAGCCATTGAGCATAATCTTGAACATCAGGGAGGAGAATTAAACACACTGCCACCCAGTTGATTCTTAGGCATAACTACTCTTCGTCCAGTTTTCAGTCCATGTTTTTCTCATGGGTTTTTTTTCTTCCTGATGTTTCAGATGCGTCTTTCCTCATTTCCTTTCTGTTACAAGAACTTCCCTTACCCATTCTTCTAGAGAAGGTATTGCAACACAGTTTCATAGTTTTCATTCCTGTCTTGATTTCCCCTTCATGTCTGGAGGGTGTTTTTGCTGCATGTCACATCATGACAGGCAGTGTTGTGTTTTAGAATGTGTATTTTTAGAGACTGAGTTTGCTTTTTTCCCCTTTGTGAATGAATTCATAGGCTTCCTCGAAAGATGTTGTTAGACAGCTGTGTCAGGAGAGCTTTTCCAGATCGTCCCTGAGCTCAGAAAAACTCCTGGATAGTACGTGCTCCAGCCTGTCCGTGACCCAGGAAGAGGCAGGTCAGGTGAGTGTGTTCAGAAATGCCTGTTGATAGTTGAATCCCCTTAACTCCTCAATCACTTTCTCCACATTCCAGTTACTACTGTTACAAAGAACTATTCCCCCTTAAATGTCTGTTCATGTTACAGGAAAATTAAGGTGGTGGGGGTTTTTACTCTGCGCCATCAAGTCGGAACCTACTCGGACCTGACCTTCCAGTGGGTTTTCAGAGGTTGAAAATGACATGAGACGAGAGTGTCCATCTTTTTCCCTCAGAGCAACTGGTGGATTTGAACTGTTTTCCTTTGGAGTTGCAGTGCAACTCCTTACTAGTAGACCACCAGATCTCCCTAAAATTAAGGTGGTTTGCTTTTCCCTGTCTTCGTGGACCTCAGACTGTTTCCTCGGAAGTAGGTGTCGTTGGGAGGACTGCACCCAGAGTCAGAGCTCCTGGTCATTTCCCTTTTCAGAGCACACCTTTTTGTGATTTTCTTTCCTAATCTGTAACATGCTGATGCCCATGGAGCAGACATCCTGGGGATCTTAGGATAGCGCCCGCTTTTGGACCCGAGAGGTGTGCCAGGCTCCCCTCAGGCCCCCTCTGCATGATGCGTAGATCCCAAGCCTTCTCTTCTTGCCCCTTTACCCCACATAAAATCCCCATCTGCTCCGTTCACCTGGTCTCGGCTAGTGGCCGAGAGGAAGGTGATTCACGGTGAGGCTGTTGCACTGACAACCTTACCATCCCCAGGGAAGTGCATTTCAAAAACGAGTGGGTTCATCCAAATCGGCCTGTATTAATATTTTAAAATCTGATTGGAGCTTTATAATTGACCATTAGCTGTGTTGTTGTTGTGTATTGTGGAGTTGGAAACGACCCATTGCTGACTCTCTGGTGGGTTTTCAGAGCCAGTGAATCGCACGGGAGGAGATTGCCTGTCCTTCTCCTGTGTAGTTGCTTCTGGCCTCAAACCCTGTGCCTTCAGGATTGTAGTGCAGCTTCCTGCTACTAGTCCACCAGAGCTCCCTAGCTATAGAAAAGTAAAAGGCTGAAGTAGGTTCCCAGAAGTGTGCGGAAGGCTTTGTTTGGCTTCTCCTAAAAGTAGGTGGTAAGGCGTGAACTTGTCTGCAGGGAGTTACTTAGGCAGTCATTCTGGAAAATACAAAGGAAAGAGGGGGAAGTGGAAAGAAGCACACCCCATAAGAAGAGGCAATGTTGTGGATTAGGACTACTAAAGTTTTTCCAAGCTTTTCTTGAATGAAGTTTACAGTCCTTGGTTTTAGTCCTAGG